GAAGGACATGATGGTGTTGGTGGCCACTGATGGTGCCCTAGCCGCTACGCCTAGAGGTAAGTCGCAGCCTTCGTATTTTCCTGATGTTGGCCAACCCAAAGGTGCAAACAGAAGTGAATGCTGTCGCCACAATTGAGTGGCGCAGTACCTCGTGCAAGCGTGTGGTTCGCAGTTCCTCCGCAGTTGAAGCAGCAGCTGCATCATTGGGATACGAACACGCGGAATTCTTGAGGGCAATGCTATGTGAAGTCAGGGAAGCTGGATTTGTGATGAGACGATGGTTTGAGCATGTGAAAGAATGTCCGATCTTGCTGATCATCGACGCCAAGGTGGCGTACGATTGTCTGTCCAGCGATGAGCTTCCACAAGACAGGAGGACCGCTCTTGACATTCGCGCATTGAGGGAAAGTCTTTCTGACCCTAGTTCGTCTTCCTTTTGTAGGTGGATCCCTGGACAACAACAAGCGTCCGATAGCTTGACAAAGTACAAAGGAAACAATGTCCTACAGTCCATCATGAGCACAGGTTGTTGGACGATCGTGGAAGATGACACATGGCAGGAAGTCAGAGCCCAACAGCGCCTTACTCAGAAGGCTTACAAAGGTCGGCTGAAAGCCCACCGGGGGACGGCAGGTGAGTCAAAGGAGACTTGCTAGTGCATGTCCATGTACACCATCCTTTGAGTTGATCTGAAGCCCATTGCGGCCCAACTCCCACTTGCAGGTACCAAAAAGGAGTCGCCCGCTGTTGAGCTTTTGTCCATGGTTGCGCTCGGTTCCCTACCACAATAAGTGGATGGAGGCCATCGCTATTATGTTGGAGGCCATCGCTCTTATGTTGGCCATCGCCATTAGGTTGGAGGCCATCGCCCTTAGGTTGGTGGCCATCGCTATTGGGTTGGAGGCCATGGCTCTTAGGTTGGAGACCATCGCTATTAGGTTGGCGGCCTTCGCTATTAGGTTGGAGGCCATCGCTCTTAGGTTGGAGGCCTTCGCTATTGGCAATTGCTTTTGGGTTGGAGGCCATCACTATCAGGTTGGAGGCCATCGCTGTGAGGTTGGAGGCCATTGCCCTTAGGTTGGAGGCCATCGCTATTAGGCTGGAGGCCGTTGGAGGCCATCGCTACTAGGTTGGAGGCCACCGCTCTTAGGTTGGAGGCCATCGCTTTTAGGCTAGAGGCCATCGCCGTTAGGTTGGAGACCATCGCTATTGGGCTGGCGCCTTCGCTATTCGGTTGGAGGCCATCGTTCTTAGGTTGGAGGCCATCGCTATTGGGTTATTGAAGGCCATGGCTCTTAGGTTAGAGTTAGAGGTCATCGCTTTTAGGTTGGCGGCAATCGCTCTTAGGTTAGAGGCCATCGCTATTAGGTTGGCGGCCATCACTACTTGTGGCCCAGAGGGGGGTGGCGAAAGCTAGGGAAAGAAACAACGCTGGGGCTCTTTAGGCAGCAAAAGCCTGGCCGGGAATCGCAAGGGAAAAGGAGAGTGCCAACAGCGCCCCCCAATACGACCCCAACACATGGCAACACACAACCACCCCAGCAACCACAGCAGCCACAACAACAATAACTGTAAACAGCAGCGGCAGCGGCGAGCAAGCAGCAGCACCAGCTACCAAGCAGCAGCACCAGCAGCAGCAGCAGCAGGAGCAGCTAACAAGCAGCAGCAGCAGCATCAGCTACCAAGCAGCAGCAGCAGCAGCAGCAGCAGCAGCGGCAGCTACCAAGCAGCAGCAGCAGCAGCAGCATCAGCAGCAGCCACCAAGCAGCAGCAGCTACCAAGCAGCAGCAGCAGCTACCAAGCAGCAGCAGCATCAACAGCAGCTACCAAGCAGCTACCAAGCAGCAGCAGCAGCTACCAAGCAGCAGCTACCAAGCAGCACTACCAGCTACCAAGCAGCAGCAGCAGCAGCAGCAGGGAAAGAGTGAGCTTTCCTTAGAGTCTTTCGCGCCCCAACATTTGGTCTCGAACAATAGCACATATAGGTGCTGCCTGAGTAATTGTAGAAGGGCGACGTGGAAAGACAAATATATCTGATATATCTGTTTTTCCACGAATAAATGCTGACGATGCAGCCAGCAGCGGTGTGCATGATTGACATCTAGGGGTTGCGTGCGAACATGTGTCAGCGACCGAAGACTCCGTCGCAACGCTTGTGCATGCTCCCTGTCGCTCGAACATGGAACGCGGACTACCATGAGTGAAGCAAACAGCTCGTTCAAACATCTGACTGGGTTCTGTCATTCATGTGTGTAGTAAGTATCATCTTTTGATCTGCATGGATAGCGGATAGTGCATTCTGATTTGTACTCTTGGGGGTTGTGGGGTGGGTACATGCCTGTACAAGCTTCTTAAGGATATAATGAAATTAGCATCGTTTCACGAATCAGAGGGAATGCAACTACTCTCGATTCTAACGAATAGGCTTTCTAGAGCACCAACAGCAGCCAACAACCCCAAACAGCAACAGCAGCAAAACGCAGCAGACAACAAGCAGCAGGCAGCCAGCATCCAGCAGCAGCAAGCATGCAAGCAGCAAGCAGCAGCAAGCAGCCAAGAGCATCCAGCAGCACCAAGCATGCAAGCAGCAAGCAGCAGCAACCAGCAAGCAGCCAAGAGCCAGGCGCAGATGAGATGCCAGCAGCAGCAGCAGCGACCAAGCAACAGCAGCAGGTACCGAGGAGGAGAAGGGTGGAGGGGGGGGGGGTCTAGTCTTGATATATCAGGTAACAGCACTCAGGTCCTGGGCTCCCACCCTCCTTGCTAAAGCAAGACAGACTCCTAGCTAGCTACAGCTAGCTTTCGTGACGTGGCACCACACAACCACCCCAGCAACCGCAGCAGCAGCAGCAGCAACAGCCACAACAACAACAACAACAACAACACCAGCAACAACACCAGCAACAACAACAACAACAGCAACAACAACAACAACTGTAACCAGCAGCGGCAGCGGCAGCAAGCAAAAGCCACCAAGCAGCAGCAGAAGCAGCAGCAGTAGCTAGCAAGCAGCAGCACCAGCTACCAAGCAGCAGCAGCAGCAGCAGCAGCAGCAGCAGCAGCAGGAGCAGCTACCAAGCAGCAGCAGCAGCAGCAGCAGCAGCAGCAGCAGCAGCTACCAAGCAGCAGCTACCAAGCAGCAGCAGCAGCTACCAAGCAGCAGCAGCAGCAGCAACAGCTACCAAGCAACAGCAGCAGCAGCTACCAAGCAGCAGCAGCAGCAGCAGCAGCTGCTGCTACCAAGCAACAGCAGAATCAGCTACCAAGTAGGTTAGAGGCCATCACTATTAGGTTGGCGGCCATCACTATTAGGTTGGAGGCCATCGCTCTTAGGTTGGTGGCCATTGGTCTTAGGTTGGAGGACATCACTAGTAGGTTTTGGTTGGTGGCCTTCGCTATTAGGTTGGAGGCCATGGTTGGTAGGTAGGAGGTCATCGCTATTAGGTTGGAGGCCATGGCTCTTAGGTTGGAGGCCATCGCTCTTGGGTTGGAGGCCATCGCTATTAGCTTGGAGGCCATTGCTATTAGGTTGGGGGCCATCGCTATTAGGTTGGAGGCCTTCGCTATTTGGTTGGAGGCCATCGCTAGTAGGTAGTAGCGTCCTTGTTCCTAGTAGTACGGCCAGGAGCCCCTAGTAGCGTTCTTGCTCCTAGTAGCGATGCCAGGAGTCCCTAGTAGCGAGGCGGCTCATTCAAGTACATGTACGGAAGCTTTGTCGGATGCTCATATGACTGGGGAGAAGACATTGCTCAAACCAACCGGGCCTGGGCGTGATTCAAGTCGAACGGAAACGCTCAGTTTGCACTTGCACAAGTGTTTCAGATGGTAGAAAGCACAAGATGTGCAAGTGAGAGCACAAGATGTGCACAATCAAAGAATCTGAGGATGTGACATCCTGATATTTCATCCAGCAGGAGGCTGGAAGCCTCGGTCAAGACCTGCCATATTACTGCTGAAGCCGTCTCCCAGATGACACAAGCTATGAAAAGCAAACAAAGTGCGATTCAAAGAAAAACAGCACAAGCAGTGTTGGAAAGTTGACTGAAAAACCACAAGCGCTTCCATTAAGTTTGCGCCATGGATTCGTCACAGTCCAGCGAGATCAGACTTCCCTTCTAACGTGGCAAAGCCAAGGGAGGGGATCACTGGCCCGCAGATTCTGTTCCTCGGCTTCGTACTGTTCCATTTCGTTCCATTCGCCTCCTCTGCTTCTTGGCATTTCCCTGTCCCCTCCTCTGACCTGCTCGCTTCTGCACTTTCAGGTTCCAACGGCCGTCTACAAAGCCATTTGTATCCAACGCTTTGCTGTTCGAAAGAAGTGCTGGGCCGTCCCCTTTCCCCTCCAGCTTTCTTCGCCCAAGCCAAGCCAAAATGCATGGGCAATCACTGGTCACCGTACATCAGGGTCTTATCCCATTCTCAGGAACCTCACATTTCGTTCCCCCTCTCACTTTCATCCCCAACCCATTGACATCGATAGCAGGGCTCGTCAATGTGCCAGATTTGCAGCGGTGGTTGCACCCGCCACCCTGAAACAAGGTCAGCTGGTAGCTTGACTTCTGGCATTATGCAGTGTGGACCGGTGTCTGATCTAGCCTTCCCATCAGAGATGTTGTCCCAACTTTGCCTGGCCGTATGACTGGCAGTGAGATACACACTGACAGTGAACTGAACTGCAAGCACTCAGTGTTCCTTCACATCTGTATTGCCCACCTATCCTTCGAAGAATATCCCCACTACCTTGACACTTAAAGTCAAGCGCAAGAAGCAAACGAACCGTGCATTCACAGAATGCTGGTTTGTCTTTGGTTTCTTGCCAGTCAGATCCTTGTGAGAGCAGGGCACGGGCACCCACAAAAGAAGAATATCTACAAAACTCACCTTGCCATCTTCGGCTTGGGCAAAGCTACATGCACCTCATTGTCCCTTATGGCCAAATGCCAAGTCTGTACAGGACTCCTCGCCAATGTTTCCTGAAAACATTTCTGAACATATGAATTTCATGCAACAGAGGCAGGCATCAATTGGAATTTCACGGGCTCACCAGCTGCCTGGCGCGGTGTTGCCCAGGAAACATTACATCGTACATACATGATGTGACATCCTCCACCAGGTTTGGCTGCTTAAACGTATTGTCATGCAATGCAAAGGATTGAGAAACTGCCAAGAATTACTAGCTTGATCAAGCTTGCTTCAATTTATATACTTCCTGAGGAAAGGGCGGAAGAGGATGAAATCCAAAGATGGAATTCTCCAGGCTCTGCTTGAAAGTTTCCGTCTGCTCCGTGGAATGACAAGTCGAGCCTGTGGCTTCGCTGGCAATTCTAATTAAGAAAGGAAAAAGCTCCTGGTCCTAGTAGCGTCCTTTGCTACTAATCTTAACTAAATTCTATATATTTGTTGAGTTATTGTTTCTACTAGCTCATTGTTACTAGTAGCGATGCCAGGAGCCCCGTTCGTAGCGTCCATGCTCCTAGTAGCGATGCCTGCGCAGCTCGAAACTGATCTTTTGGGTTTCTCCAGCTCGAAGCAGAACCTGGCGAAACAGTTCACAAGAACTTCATGAATCGTTCATGTGACATTTGACGCGTTCCTCGTCCCACGACTCTTCTGAGGCCTTCCGAAATCCTTTGAGCTCGCGGACAGGTCGTACTCTGCTTGCCACACAGTCATGAATGTAGAGCTGGACTACTTCTTCCCCATCTCTTTCACCTGCTTGCAGTGCCCAGCATGGCACCCAGACAAGAAACATCCTTTTAAGATCAAAGAATCAAAGACATAGAATCAGATCTTTCCTGTGCCCAGACACCAGTATTGCTGACCTTGCAAGGGCAAATGCACCACTTTGTCTGGTTTACATTGGGAAAGAGGCGAAAAGTTCCAACAAACAAAACCCCGCATCGTGCCTGCACGCTTGCCTTCAGCGTCTCGTCCCATCCCATTGTTGAAGTGCTGAGTAGTGGCGTTGCGAAGGAAAATGATGTGTAGCTCAGGCCAAAGCCAAAAGGGAACAGGGCTTTGCTGTGGACCTCTCTCCAAGTTGCCTTGAAGGTTCTGTCTCCATTGCCCTGAGGACGTCCTGTTCTTGGTGCATTATAAAAAAGAGGCTGTTGCCCAGAGTCAGCCGGAAAACTCACTGGTAGCTTTCCTGATGGATTGTAATCGCCAAAAAGGACATCGGCGATTGCTGGACCTGTCTGGGTACCCAAAAACCATGTCACCAGAATTGCTTCGGCTCTTAGAACTGCCCCACTGATTGCCAAGGCTCTTCCCGTTCTGAGTAAAACGACTATTGGAGTTCCAGCTGCTGCAAGTGCTTCCGCAAGCTTTTGCTGGGCTTCCGGCACAACAATTTGAGTGCGAGACTGGGACTCACCAGAGAAATCTTCAGGCTCTCCTATGGCTAGGACAACAACGTCAGCTCGTTTAGCCGCTTCCACCGCCTCATCTATTCCACGATCTGTAGATGCCTCGAAATTGCATCCTTGCAGAACCTCTACATCCTTAGACTTCATGCAAATCCCCACATCGACTGGCACTGCTCGCTTTTTATCACCATAGACAGTCCAACAGCCGTGCAAATTGTCCACATCTGATGCAAAAGGTCCAACCAGCAATATTTTCTGACCTGACTTCTTGAGCGGGAGAAGCTTCTCATTTTTGAGCAACACGATCGAGCGCCTGGCACTCTCTCGAGCCAGTTCATCATGCCCCGACTTGATCTTCTCCAGGGATTCTTCCCGCTTGAGATCCAAACACTTATATGGGTTCTCAAACAAACCGATGGCCTTTTTCACACTCAATATTCGTCGCACTCCCTCATCTACAGCTTCCAAGGAAACTTGACCTGATGCAACAAGGTCAGGTAAATGGTCGACGTACAAACCACTTTGCATGCTCATGTCCACTCCTGCTGTGAAGGCCAAGCGAGCTGCATCTCTACCATCAGCAGCAAAACCATGGTTGACAAGCTCTTCATCTGCTGTGTAGTCCGACACCACAAAACCCTTGAAATGCCATTCCCCACGCAGAATATCTGTCATCAACCATTTGTTTCCAGATGCCGGTACACCAGCAATGTCATTGAATGCGCTCATCAACGTTAGTGCACCCGCATCCAAACAGGCCTTAAACGCTGGCAAATGAACATCTCGCAAGGTTGACTCAGAAATTTCGACAAAGTTGTACTCCATGCCACCAGAAACTCCACCATATGCTGCGAAGTGTTTGGGTGTGGAAAGCAAGGCATCTTCCGAACGCAAGTCTGACCCTTGGAAGCCTTTCACGCGGGCCACCGCAAAGGCTTTGCCCAAGAATACATCTTCGCCTGAACCTTCCGCAACCCGACCCCATCGCTGGTCTCTAGCAACGTCCACCATTGGGGCCTCGAAAGTCAAGTAGTGTTGCCAAAATGGGTAATGCAAACCTCTGATTAATAAACCCCCCCCCCACGTGGTAGGTCAACAAGGTCAAGAAGGTCTGAGATACCACTCATGAGGTCCACCTCCCCTGAATTATCGGCTCAGGGAGCCATCGTAGTCGCAGTCGTCGTCGGTAGTAGGTAGTATATAGGTAGTAGGTAGTAGGTAGTAGTAGGTAGTAGTAGGTAGTAGTAGGTAGTAGTAG